TTAATGTTCTGATAGTATCGCCAATTTCCAAACTTTTCTTATACGGCCATTAGCATCACTTAATACTTTTTTTTTCTAATTTTGAGCGTAATTAGATCGAATGATATTAAGATTAATCTTCTTTCTCAGCAGACATATATTACATTTCGCTGCTTCAGATATAAAGACTTTAAAAAATCAATTTAAAAATCCTTTATTTTTATTTAGAAATAAAGTGAAGCATTAAACGGGTTTCGCGATTAATTTTCACCCGAGATTTCGAGAGATTTTTTAAATGGAAACTCATTAGAAAACTTCTGTTGAATTATTAAATTGCTGGTTTCTTGTAATTATTTTTTAAAACAGAAATCGCAAATTTAATTATTTATCAGAAAAAAATGGGAAACATATTATAAGGAAAGGGTACGACGTGATTGTGAAATATTATGGAACTTAGATGGAAGAACATTCTTCAAACTGTTGCCGCATAGATACAAGTACTTTTATTAGTTTTATCACGAGCTAATAAACTTTGAGGACATTTTCTTCTTGACAATGATAAACCAAAGATCTTATTAACCACCTTTCGGAATCTTTGTTATTTAGAGAAGAAAATAAATCTTTGAAGAAATAATAAAGATGGATATATTCGGAGATTCGGGAAGAATTAAGCATCTTAAATCTCTCTAAATTGGTTCATAAGTTATTAAATTTATGAGAGCTATGGGAAGAAAATGCAATAAAATTGATGTGGAAAAATCAACTAAAGAGTTTGAACATTGTATGTAGTAAATTATTTGCAATAAACAGTAAAAAAGCACAATAAACAATGAAATAAACATTATGTACTTATAAAATGTTTCAATTTTTACTATGTTTACAGTTTAATCCAAAATGAAAAACAGCATTTATCTTAAAATAATAATAATAATAATCCTATTGACAATGTGTTGAAGAAAATTTGGGAACACGTTTTATTTAAAAAAAAATTATCAAGGGCACAAAAATTCGAGCATTAAAAAATACACACATTAAAATAAAGTTTCAAAAATGTGCTACACATATCCTCAAAAATAGAGTTTTCTTTCGAGCTTTCTAACATATAAATTCAGAAACATGCTTTTTATTTTACTGTGTTTAAGTTGCTTATTTACGTGTAAAGATTCACTTAAAATATGAAAAACTTTACTAAAAGAAAGAAAATTCACAATTTTTTTTATAGTTATAATGTAGCAACAAAAAAATAATGAAAATAAATACTTTAAGATATTTTATTATAAAATTACAATGTATTATAACAAGAAACTAAGCTTACCTTAACTCTTGTTACAGCTTTAAGAAAACTTTAAAAAATTATCTATTTCTAAAACTATAAATTAACCAATAGTTATAAACTAACTATTTCTGAAAAATATTACTGTAATTTCTGTTGTTTTAAGGTTATAAAATTAACCTTTTTATGAATAAGGTTTTTCTACGTAACCAAATAAGTCACTGGATCAGCATTATGAAGCATCATTATTTATACCAAAACAATATTGTCTTATGAACTTTGACTATTAATTTTATTTATTTGAAGAGGAATTATGTTTTCTGTTCTCAATTAGAATGATCACCCTGCGGATGGTACAGAACCCTAATGAACGAATGAGAATCAAAGAATTCCTGAAAGACTATATATTGTTAAATTTACG